GCATGTATGTATGTATGTATGTATGTATGATATATATATATTATATATATATATATATATATATATACATATGCATATATATATATATTTATATATACATCTAATATATACATATAAATCTAGAGATCTAAAACACATTCGCATATACACCTCCATACCAATACAAATATTCTTGTATTAGCCTATAACCACTCGTCTTACCGTTTTCTGCCCGGGGCTCTTCGATCGTTTTGTTTGTATAGGGCGTCCTTCCTTTGGAAGATGGTCATGCTGTCCATTTTCTTGCGTATGCCATTCATAGCCGTATCATGGAATTCTTTGGAGTACTGTGAGTGTCATATGTTGGGCGTGGATTTGTTTACGTTTACAGCTATTGAGACTTGCGGCGTATACGAACTTTCGATAACTCCAACGCCTTATGAGTAATATGTTCGGGTTGACAAGCCAAACTCCATTGGTTGTGAGTGGTCCGAATAAAGCAATGGTGCTTCTTGGTAGATAAACGCGGGCTCGTTGACCTTATGCGTATGCACGCAACCAAACCTAATCTTTTTTTCAAACATCGTATATTTAGAAAGCAAACCTGTTTTTATTATTATTCAAACATTGCATTTTTATAAAACAAACCTGTTTTTATATATTATAGTGTAGTAGGGTTTGCTTTTCACCACTCACCCCGCAAGGTCCCGCACCAAACAAACGTATTGAAATACACCCACCCCACAGCCGTGTGCAAGCGCATACCTTCACGCAACAACTCGTGAAACGTTTATGACTGCCCTCGCCCAGACACACAAAAACAAAACGCATACCTCTGTGGCAGTGACGTGCTGCGTGCCTCCCCGGTGTTGTGGCTGACTATTGCTCAGCAAGATACTCACTGTAATCAAACGTAAACGCAAAACGTATATTATGAGTTTACACAAATAGCCGGCTCTATATCTTAGTGACCCAACAGTGGTCTGGTCTGGCTTCAGCTAGACCCGTCCTTCGGCTGATAGTTCGTTGAGTTACATAATCGGTTCTTCTATTTCTATTCACCTTCTAGTGCGCCTTGCGTGACGATGATAAATGCCCTTGTAATGAGAGTAGCACTCGTGGCATTGGAATAGTAACACAGATATGAGATCAGATGTACCAACGGCTCGTATCTATCTCGTATATTGCTGATCACAACTGGTTGGCCATAGACGTCGTGTAAAAGGCACAAATATATGGTGCAATGTACAAAGATCGTTTTTGACTCGATA